GGTTGACTTTAGGGTTTGGTCAACATTAGTATTGGAGACGATGGAGGGGTACAATGGTCTTTTACCCAATTCAAGAGTTAGAGAGAGAAGAATAACATTTTGCTACTTAGAGTCGAGAATCGAGCATTAATTAGAGATATGTACCCTATGTGTCAGGCGGTGGCTAGTTCGAGATTCGAGTTCGAGGATAATTGCTTGCTTGCTTGCAAGGTGAGTCTTCTCACTATACTTACCAAGAGTGGTATCTTTATGTGATTGAGCTGTTTTATGTGTTTATCTGTGTATTGTGATATCCTGTATTATTTCTTTGTGATTTATGCTGTGTGTCACTCAGAGTTTACAGAGTTAGGACCGGAGGGTCCACCAGAGTTGTGGGACTGGAGGGTCCCACTGAGACACCTTGACCGGAGGGTCATACAGAGTTATAGCCTCGAGTGGCTAAAGAGTTGTATGTGGTATTTTTGGGGAACTCACTAAGCTTCGTGTTTACCGTGTTATGTGTTATGTGTTTCAGGTTTTTATCAGGATCGCGGGAAGGCACCGGCTTGATTGTACACACCAGTGAAAGAGTTATGTTTTGAAGATCCTGGATTTTAATCAAACAATTATGGAGTTGCGATTTGTAAATTAAATAAATGAGATTTTTTGTGAAATGTGTTATGAGAATTATGTGATTTTAAATAAAAAATTATTTGAAAATTTACGGTGTTACAAGTTGGTATCAGAGCCTTGGTTTGAGGGATTCAGATACACCTCCGGGTATGTCTGGACTCAAACTGGGGATTTGAGAAAAAAAATTCAAAAGAAATGATTTTTTCTAAAACGAGCAAGAGTTTCCAAGGGAAAACGAGAAGGAGCAGTGTGTACAATCAGCCAGAGCCCGAACGGTGATTTCCTAAAGTACCCTTACTTTACGGGATTAACACTACTTCAATGGTTGTATTTTCATTAATAAAACTATGGTACACTACTTTACACTACAACTGGTAATAACCAGGCATTCATACATGGTTTTCATGCAAACACTACTATGGTACACTACTTTACTCTACAACTGGTGATTTCATGCATTAATACTAAGGTTTTACTCAAACGCTAATACAGTACACTACTTTCACTACAACTTGTGGTATCCAGATATACATACAAAGGTTTTCATACAATTACAGATACAATACGCTGTTTTCTAACATAGAGTACACTAATACAGTATACAAATACAAGGAACATACATGATTACACTACTTTCACTATAGAAAATATTGGATTTTCTTGAGAAACACACTAGTATTTTCAAAGTACAAAGACAAGTTTTCCTACAGTAAAACATACTTATGAACTCACCAAATTAAATGTTGATACGCTTTCAAAATCACTTGTATTCTCAGGAAACCGATAAGACAGGCACACTCGCATGATTTTGAGAAGACACAGCATTATAGAGTCATGTATTTTATACTTTTGTTATACATTTTGATGCCATACAAATTATGTATTGAACAAATGTAATTACTCTACCTTATCAATGTAATGGTTATGTTTGCTTTGATTCCTATTATACAAATGTTGTGATACTGTACATGACGTCCTCCGCCCCCGAACGTTTCTGTCGTTCCGGTTTAGGGGTGTGACATGCCACTTCTGGGCCGTGGGCCGGAAGTCGATTATGTAAGACTTTGGGCCTTAAGGAGGCAAGTTTAGTCCTTGTGGAAGGAGTTATTGATAGTTAAGAGATTTAACCCTTGAATTGTGTTTTGGGTCGAAGGGTAGAAAGGGAAAAGTCATAGGTTGGGTCCTTGCATGAAATATGGATTTTTGTTCAAGAAGTTTTTAGTCCAAGATATTTAGAGAATATTGTGGGGCTCTTCAACACAATTCTGCGGATATAAAGAACGTCGAAATCAGAGTTAGAAAGAAGAAATTATGACCGTTCGAAGTTAGGAGGGTTTTGGGTTGAGCCTAGTACGTTGGGTGTACGGGGAATATATTTGGCATACTAGGCAAGTGTGATCGCGGACCCTAACCTAGTTCGTTGAGTGTACGCAATCATGTGCCAAACCTTAATTTGAGGGTTTTGAGCCCTATTTAAGCTCCTTAACTCCCCCAAACCCTCTCCATTCTCATCCTCCACCTCTCAAACGCCCCCCCCCCCCCCCCCCCATGAAACTCTAACCCTAGTTTGAGCCTTGTAAGAAAAAAGAATGTATTTTTAAGTGCTTTGGAATGTTCTTGGTGCATCTTGGAGAAGAAGGAGCTCATTGGAGAAGTGTTAATTGCATTGGATCTTGTAGATCCAGAGCTTTTTCACCTTGATCTTTCTTCTAGAGGTGGCCAGTAGAGCTGATAATCGGAGCAATGTCATGTTCAGCAACCTTTTTAGACTTAGAGATGAGTTCTCTTCATTGTACTTGTAGGTCGATGGTACCAATGAAGGCCCACTTGGTTATGTATCCTGGTATATAAGATGTTGCTATGTTGTACTGATCTGTTAGATCTGTATCCTGGTATATAGGATGTTTTTATGCTATAGTGATATGTTAGATCTGTATCTTGGTATACAGGATGTTGCTATGTGGTAGTGATTTGTAGATCTATATGATTACCTGTACTTGCTGGCTATTGATTGTTATGGTATATTTTATGTGATATGGTCGATTGGGTTGAGGCGGTCCTGCTATGTGTTGAAGGCCAAGATACTCAGGGCGGTACGGATAGACTAAAGGCCTGCGAGGGTGTCCATTCAGGCAGAAGGCTCGAAGAGCGGTCCAGATAGGATGTAGGCCCGGTGCGGCGGTCCAGTCATGCTGAAGGCTCTTAGAGCGGTCCAGATAGTCTGTAGGCCCAGTGTGGCGGTCCAGTCAGGCTGAAGACTCATGCATGCATGTGGTTATTTGTATGGTTGTGCGATGGTATTTTGGGGGAAAAATCACTAACTTTCATGCTTACAGTTGTAATTTATTGTTTCAGGTACTTCAGATGATTGTGACAAGACGAAGGCATAATCATGCAAATTCTCTTGGTTTTGATACTGATTTGGGGACACTCTAATATATAATGCTATTTTTGGGAACAATGTTTTGTAAACAAATGGTTTTGATTTGGATGGTATCTGAAAACAATGATTTTACTTGATTTAAAAAAATATTATCGTGATTTTGGGGATGTTACAAATATTTATAATAATTATATTTATTAAATTTAAATATTTTACTTGTTATCTTTTTGTGTTATAATAATTATATCTATTAAATTGACCTATATAATACCGTAAATAATGACAATATAAAGTGTAAACTAAAGCTTGTTGAAAAATAAATTAAAACCAAACATTTTGTTAAAACAACAATAAAAATAAAATTTTATATATTTGAATATATAAAATAATTAATAAATAATAATAGTATAGATATTATAATTAAAAATATAATATGTAAATAATATTAATATAGGTTGATTGGACTTCTAGTTATTATGGAAAGCAATGTAATTTAATGAAGTTACTTTAATATCATAATATCATATGATATAAAAATGATTAAAATGATATATATATATATATTATATATATATATATATATATATATATATATATATATATATATATATATATATATATATATATATATATATATAAAGTTTTATACTGAACCATTATAAATGGTTTTCTAAAGAACCAAACATTTTTATCAAGTTTTAGAATTTACTTTTTATCGAAAAAAAAATTAAAGATATTTGCATTCATAACTTCATATTTTGAATATTAAAAAATAAATTATATATTTTTCGGATTCACTGTCTGAACTTAGATTCACATTGTGAATCTGCACAGATTCACACTGTGAATTTGACGAAAAAAATTAAATTTTTTTTATCGAATTTGATATCATTGAAAATTTATCAAAAGTTATGAATTTATATATTTTAATTCTTTTTATTAATAAAGAATAAGCTTTAAAAAGTGAAAAAAAAAAGATTGGTTCATTAGTTTCATGATTAATAATTGTTATCTACTGAACCTCTTTACCTTTAATATATATATATATATATATATATATATATATATATATATATATATATATATATCAGTGTTGCAGAAATCAGTCTTGTTGGCCGATTAATCATTTAGCGGCCTTGAACCGATTACGATTAGGCTGCTTGGCGGAAATTGGTCAAAATCGGGCTTGGCGGTCCTCGGTGGGAAAAATTTTAAAAATTCAAAAATTTTAATTTTCAAATATTACTCCAAAATTTTAAATTTTCAAAATTTTAAGTTTTCAAATATTAAATTATTATACAAAAAATTTCAAAATTTTAAAATTTTAAAATTCTAAATTTTCAAAAACTTAACTTTTTAGGAAATATTAATTTGTTAAATAATTTAGGGTCCCCGATTAATCGCCGATTAATTACCGCCTAGTCCGATTTATCGCTTATCGCCAGTCGACCGCCGAACGATTTTCACAACCTTGATATATATATATATATATATATATATATATATATATATATATATATATATATATATATAAGATGTATTTTGTTAAAAATGAAATTTCTTTTTAGCAAACCTTTTTATTATCATATATAACAATTCATTGACAGCCTAACACGTGTTTTATTTAGATTCCATAAGTTTGAATTATATTTATTTAAAAGAAAACTCAAACGGAAAAACTTTAATTAAAAAAGAAAAAACATAAATATGAATTTTTTATTTTAAACTAAAAAATTTAATCCAAAAATTACTTGAATTAGTTTTTAAAAATTTAAATATTCTTTATAGATTCTATATGTTTATATAAATTTTAAAATTTATAACTAACTTTTCTAAAAGACTTTTACAAAAATAAAAATAATAACTCTAGCTAGTTTCAAAATACCAACTAATTTTTGGCGAAGTATCCTAGAAAATAAAACAAATCAAAATTAACACTGCCACAAGAATATTCAAAGGCTCATATTTTTAAAAAGTTCCATATATCAAAAAAAAGAGCGACATTCCATTCCATTCCATTTCTTTTAATTCTTAGGTAGTAAAACTATTTACATTTTTATCCCCGATATAGAAAGGGACACCAACCCTACACTACAAACTAAACTAGCATATCTATCCATCTATACTTACCATTTACTACCTACCTATTAACATAAATAAACCTTACAATTTCATCATCTTCTTCTTCCACCATTACCAAAACTTGTAAACTTACATTCACATACTTACCTAAAAACAGATCCCCCACAAGACAAAGACATCAACAGAAAAGCAGCTTGTTCTACTTCCCCTAATTTCTTATACTCCTTTTCAACCCTTTCTCCCTTCACCTTCTTCATCATCCGAGATCTCCGCCGCTGCAGCACCACCACCTCTTTTCCGACCGCCACCACCTTTATCCTCAACCGCTTCCTCATCCCAACATCCTCATCGGAGTACAAGGCGGCGCTCGTCGAATAAGAGGATGAACTCGAAGACGACGGTGAAAACGGAGCTTGTTTCTCGATTCTCTTATCTGATCCATTCGGACTCCTCTTCTTCCTGTACCTAATTCCACAAGCATTGCATAGCGACTGTGTAAAAAAAACAAAAACAAAAACAAATTTGTTTATGCAACTTGATTAGATCGTGATTTGAAGAATAAAGGAAAACTGAAATCAAAGATCGAATCAATTAATCGAACCTTCGGACCAGCAGGACCGCTTCTCCACAACGGCGTTTTGGAGGTCTTGCAATCAACGCAGAGTTTCTCTTCACAACTTACCGATTCCTGAGAAATCAAAACAGAAAGGAAAATAAAACGATCAAGAACTTATCTTCGAGCTTTGAAAATATCAATTAACGATTGACGATCGAGTGTGTGTATATACCATTTCTGTTGTGTTGATTGTAGTTTGGTTTCTGGAAATCAGAATCCAAATCCGACACCGAAACTTGAAATCAGAATCAGGGAGTTTGAAGGAGAAGGAGAATAACTGAGAATATGAGAGATGAGAATGGCGGCGGAGGTGAGTGGTGGCGCAACCATATAAAAGAACCGACAGTGACAGAGTATCGTGAAGTATTAAATAGTGGGATAAAGGGGGTGGGAAAAATGATGATGATCGGACGACTGAGAATTGAAGATGGAAAGAGAAAGAACCCTAACCAAGGACAAGGGTATGTGATGTGACGAAAGTGACCTTGGGAGAGTCACCCGCTAAAATATGTGAAAGGACACTGGGCCCATTATGTGGCGCGTATGCCCACGTGTCACCGTTTATGAATGCCAAAATGCAGTCAGCATGAATTAGAAATAAAATAAGACTCTTATCTACTAATGCCTCTCAATCTCTCATCGAATAATTTCATTTATTTAATTTTTCTTACACAAAAATAACAAAAAGGTTTGTATATACAAAAATTCATAAATATGTGTAGTCGTATATCAATTAAACAACATATTACAGAAAACAAAACAAGGAGTGTTAATCGGAATAAAATGAAAATATATTAGATTTTTTTCAAACAACTAAATATATAAAAAACAAAGCACGATGATTAGCAAAAACTATCTTACATTATACCTTTTTCTATTTAAAATATGCAATATATATATATATATATATATATATATATATATATATATATATATATATATATATATACCAATCGAGTTAATGTCGGAAATCAGATATCTTCTTTCTCTTTGTTCATATTCATCTTGCTACCCATTTTATCAAGACAAATGACAAAAAGAGATGTGATTAAAAAAGAAATTTAATGGTGTCCACACTTAATTATTCTATAGGAGTAGAAATATATGTATATTATGTATGAACAAAATGTAGGGTAATATTTAATTTTTCTAAAAAATAATACCCACTCAGTTTACTTTCTGTCTAAAAATAGCCATTATTATCTTTTAGACTCAACGGAGTAACGGAGTGGGATTCGGTCACACTCGGCAAATCCGAGGTTGACTTGGCACACACCGCGCTGCCACCTTGGTGAGCTCTACTCGACATCGATACTCGGCAAGTTTCTACTGAGTTTCAAAGCCCCCTCCAACCAATGAACAACTGCTCTTTTTTGATTTTTTTTAAATAACTATAAATATAGCCCAACACTCCTTCACGAATCACATCAAAACCTTATTCAACACTCTCTCTAAAAATATCATCTTCATCTTCTTCATTGTCGGGTTTTTCTGATGTGTTGCTTGAATCGACTACAGAGGTTATTCAAGAGTCTGAACAGAAGATAGAAGAACTACGCCAACAAAATGTCGATAATGCTCGCCGGAAAAAAAAAAGGTTCATACAAAGAAATCGTGAGGCGGCTCATCAATGCCTCATGCAAGATTATTTTAAAGAAAGCATGAATTTTCAAGGATTGTTATTTTCATTGGCGGTTTCTGTATGTAAAAACATATGTTTCAGCGTATCGTCAACCACGTCACCGCAACGTTTCCATAGTTTAAAAAACGAGTAGATGCTAGAGGTAGAGTTGGTTTTACTCCTTTAGAAAAATACACTGCCGCACTTCGTCAACTACCATATGTCACTTCTCCCGATGTACTAGATAAGAATCTTAGGATGTCTGCACATACTACACGATAAAGTCTTCATAAATTTTGTAAGTATGTCATTAGATTTTATGTGTGACAACCCGAAATTTCTATCTTGAATAATCATTCAAATCAATCAAAGTTGGACTTGTTTTGCTATCTTCTAGCATTATTTAGAGTCAATTAGAGCGTGTTAAGCCTAGTACATCAAAGAATTGAGTGTTAAGAATTATCTGCTTGGGTCCTTGTGCACCAAGCAAGCCATAAACTTCATCATGTGAAGTTTACGGCCACACCATATGAGTTTACGACCGTAAACTCAAGGTGGCCGCAAACTCGGGCTATAAACATGATATTCTATCATTCCTTCCTCATTATTCACCATTTCAACCTCAAGAACTTGATTTCTCTCTCAAGTATCATAAGATCTTCATTTTTATCTTCCAAAAATGTAAGTGTTTCTTCCCTTGAATCATTGATACATCTCGATATCTTGTATCACCCTTTGATTTCATCCATTAACTTCATCTTTTGGGTTTGATCTTCAAGTGTTCTTCATTTCACCAAGAACACCAAGAACACCTACTAAGTTCGTGGACTTCAAACACCCCTAAAGGCTTCTAAACTCGTAAGTACCTTCCTATGTGTATTAGTTACTATATGTGCTACTTGAAATCACCCAATATACAAGATCAATGAGAGTTTACGGCCAAAGAGCATCTCCCTTGGCCGTAAACCCTTGTTAAGCCTTCAAGTTGGACATAAACACTTCCTTAAGGCTTGTGTTGGGTCTAGAACACTTCCACGAGATTTGTAAGACCTTAAATCACCTCTTTAGCATAAGAATTCATGAGTTTACGGTCGTAAACTCATAGGGCCGCAAACCCTATGGCCGTAAACTCTTGTGGCCGTGAACACATGGCCGTAAACACCATAGTGTGGCCTTAAACTCCTTAGATGCAATCCTTTGTGATTATAACACTTCCATATAACTGTTTCCTAGTTCCTGAGGTGTGTTCCTTATATGATTAGTAGTTTAAACACTAATTATATACATATATGTGTCATTATATGCTTATTAGGATCCGTTGTGCTCAAGGCTTCACTTGGCACTTATCATCCTTCAAATCGATCTTTCATTCGTATCACTCACTGCAGGTGAGTTCATACCCCTTTAACTTACCTTTTAAATGATTTTAAATGCTTTTATGGGGGGGGGGGAATACAAGTACAAACATAATAGTTATTATATCAATCGTATGTGATTAATAACTATCAAACAGATAGAATTCTTATACTTCAAACTGTGTTTCCAACAAATTGCTTCAAATAGTTTTACAAACTCTTTTATATATGCAAAACTCTTTATCAAACTCTTTAAAACTTATATTTTGTCAAAAGCATATCTATATAGATATAGTTATATAAGTAGGATTGAAAGGACTTAGGACTGATAGCTCGCCTTACTTCATGTTCCTTGTTTGGTTGTGGACTTAGGGTATCGGTTGTTTGTCCGAAGGTCGTTTGAATCTTAATTATATATTATGTGTATGTATATAAATATAAAAGTTATTCATTCAGTTCAATACCTTTGGGTAGCAAAGGTGTACAAAGATGTTCATACATACAAACAACATTACTAGTAAACTATAATAGGTATAGTTTAGGGAGTCACTAATACTATTACTAGAACAACGAAACATACAAAGAGTCAGTTCATACATGAGTCAATACATACTATAACGAGAAACAATACTCACTATAAATAGAAACAGATATAGAACACTATAACGAGAAACAATACTCACTATAAAGAGAAACAAACGGATAACACTATAACGAGAAACAATACATACTACATGCTATACACTAGAGAACATATTACATACTAGACAGAGAGAACATACACTACACTAGTACATACTATACAAATACAAGAATACTATAACATTAATGTTAGATACTTCTTCATGGCTCGGCATATACTGTTGTGTCACGTTTTGTACCCAGAGTCTCCTGGAGGGAGAGCGTGAATTTGTGTATAGATCTATACGGGACTGACCCTCCTACACCTTGATGCTAGCTACAGTGGAATCTGCAGGTCTGTGGGTGACGAATGTCATATCATTTCGACGTCTCGAACGTCGTGTTTTACTGGTCAATCGAGTATGGTTACAATCATATCACATTTTACCTTAAATAACTAACAAGTTTAAAGGTAGTTAGTACATTAGTAGTTACCTAGATAAAACTACATTACATCTTTATTTTTCCCAATTCATTCACATTGTGATCTTCTCACATAAACGGTAATGAGAAACTATATTTTGGTAATGATAGTCATACTTTGGTAAAACTCACACTTTTACAAAAGAACAAACGTAGATAACAGTTGGGTCTTGGTAGAAGACTACTTTAGTAGAAAATATAGGATTTTCTAGGAAGATTACAAACATTTACATCAAATACTTACAAACTTTTACATCAAACATTTACAAGTACATTCTTCAAACTTATACAATCAATGACACTAAAATACTTATGAACTCACCAACTTTAATGTTGACCTACGCTTTCAAAATAACTTGTATTCTCAGGTCACCAGTAGACAGGTACCGATGACCAGATTTTGAGAAGATGGAGCACGTTCAAGACTCATCTCTTATTTTGATTATACATTTTGGTGTCTTATAAACTTCAGAACACACTTATATTAAAATTATACTATTAATGCAATGGATGATGTTGTTGCTTGTTTACTATTATGCATTGTTGTGATACTGTACATGACGTCCTCTGTCCCCGAACGTTTCCGCCGTTCCGGTTTTGGGGTGTGACAGATTGGTATCAGAGCATTGTTTATAGTGAATTGAGTATATCAACCCATAAAAGATATACAACTATAAACACAACGAGATTAAAATACTCTGACCAAGAGTTTATACTTTTAAATAATAAAATATTTAACCTAAGTATACATACCTGCATTCATACTAAAATCAGTGTCACTAGGACAGAACAAAAGTATTACGATTGTTGGACATCACAAGTAGACTTGGGGACATATAATCAGATCTGGGAGTGATATAGCCTGATCAACTATATCTTTTCGAAAAGTGATTGCATGTGCCTAAGAATGGTTGTGGCGTTGCAGCAAGTCTAAAAACTTACCAACACTACTACAATGAAAACATTAGAACAAAACATAAACTTAAAATACTATAGGAGTATTTTGTGTTACTATAATTACTTATGTGCAAACTAAAAAGGTCTTTATTAGTATGTCAATAGTTGTTGAGTGGATACGCTAAGGTTATATGTGACTAGGGTGTTATAGACTTAGAATCTGTGATCTTTGCTTTACTTCCTGTTCCTTGTTTGGTTGTGGACTTAGAGTTAGGGTCACTTATTCGAAGGTCTATCCTGTTTTGGTTACATATGACTGGTATGCACTACGCAAATGTTGGAGTAAC